GTGTAGGGCCTGCTTGTATAGTTTCATATGTTTATCCATGAAAAACGTGACAGATAAATTACATAACATGATCTATGTGGCTGTGTAAGTAAATCAATTAGGTTGAAATCTATTCTACCTGAACAACCATGGACACAAAACAATGGGAAACTGTCTGAGAAATACAAACCCTGAGTCTATCTGCTGTCTGAGTTACCTGTACTGCATAAGACTCACACCAGAATCAGATCATATGATAGTTTCACATTAAAATTTTGTAAAAGATACCTAATCTGCTTGAAGGCAGAAGAAAGGTCTATTAAATCTACTGAATTCATTATATTAAGAAAAAATTCCTGCACTCCAATCCAAGACATTAAATTCTTACCAAGTTCTAAACACCTTACAAAAAATAAAAACTTAGCCAATATTTGTATTTAATGATTTCTCCCAATTATTCTCCTCTTTAAAAGTCCCAGTATGATCAAGACCATGTCACTGACCCAATGAAAACTTTATCTTCTGAAGGCTTTTAACCTTTCACAGACAATTTTTTTTTAAAAAGCTTAAGCAAGAAACAGAGTTTTGCAACAAGCCCCAAATGTCCACAAGTTCAAGTTCTGTCACACTGTGGAAGAAAACACTCTGGAAAAATATATGTGTTTCCAGAGACCAACTGAAAACCAGTCTAGTCTGTGGAATATGGGTCTAGAGCATACTGTAAATAAAGCACAATCTACATTTTGGACTAACTGTGTTTTCTTACTGATTTTCATGCATTGGTCAATAAAAATCATATTTCAATAAACTAAATCTGATATTCAAAAGATTCAGTATTACAGTTCACAATGAAAGAGAGATATGCTTATCCTCTATGTTCTGGTTAATTCAAATCAGCCCATGCAACAGGAATATCAGCATGATTTTTACTTCATCTACATACCCATTAATACAGTCATGAAAAATTTATGCAGGTTCCTCAGGAACAACAGAAGAAATAAATCCTGCTTGGTCATGAGCTAAAATGTGTTACCTCTGTCTTTTTTAACATGACTTTCACAGAAGTCATTCAAATGCTATATAAGTCCAATAGCACTTTTGCTTTCTCTTGATTCACCTTCTGAGTTTCATTTAAGTTAGAGGTGGGAGTGAATCAAATTGGAACAAATCAGGACTGACAAACAAGTAAAAAAAAATTTTTTTAACAGTAACTGAAATAAAACTCAATAAAAGTAACGAAACCTCCCTGTACCACAATAAAAAATTGTCTGAGCCCTGGAAAGAAGATAACCTCACAGATCTACGTTTAGGAATGGCTTGTGTTTCTGCCATCACTACTAACTATTCAATGTGTTTCAGAATCACTATTAAAAAATAGGAAAAGCCAGAATCAAAACTTAATTGTTCTATTCTGATGATGGTTAAAAGCAGACATAAATATCTATAGCATAGTTTCCAAACTGGTCACAGTAATAAGAAATAATTTGACTAAATGCAATAAATTCTAAGAATTCTAGAAGAATTGCCTTGACACACTTATCTACCGTCCCTCTAAAAATAAGGGAAGGATGAAAAATGGAAGAAGGTCAATATACCATCAATGTGAAAAGTCAGATTTTCCTAAGCTGTCTGGATAGATTCTCTGTTTATGATATCATTATCCAGGCTGTCTGAATAAATTCAGCAAAACTATTACTTTTGCTGTTATTCAGCAAATAAGTCCAGAGCTGTCTTTATTCATCATTTAATTCTTTTAGAAAAAAACCTGTTAGAAATCTGCTGGCGGTTACCAGCTAAAGGTCAATGTGCTGGTTTAAAGGTAAACTGGCAGGAAAAATGAACCCAACTCAAAAGAGATTATAAGTCAGAGGTACAATTTAATAAAAATAATACAATAAAACAATTATATGGACAAACAATTGGTTTTAACCCACAAAACCCAGATGTATAACCCAGCACCCTGGGGCACGAACAGAGTGGTGTTCGTTGGCCCCCCATGCTGAGCCCCACGTGGTCCCCCTGAGTCCAAAGTAAAAGGAGAGGGAAAATCTCTTGGTGAGAGTGCTGGTCACAGTCTGGTTGAGGGTGGTGATCACAGTCTGGTTGAAAGTGGTGGTCGCAGTCTGGTCGAGATTCTGGTCCTCCTCTGGATCCGACCAGTGGGCCAGAAGTCCCAAGACCCCAAGATTATACACACTCAGGTTCAAGTGGGAACGCCCAGTACCTCCCCCAGGGTGGGGAGTTCCACAATGGGTGATGTGAGTCGTGAGATATTTTTGGAATCCTTGGTTGGCCCATTAGCAGACATGACCCCTCAGGCTGGGTGTGGAGGTGCTCATGACTCCCTGGAGGAGAGTTAACATCACCCATAACTATAGCCTGAGGAGTCAGGTGTGCTCTGGGCAGCTGCTGTAAATGGTCTATTGTTAACAGTTCCTGGGAAATGACATGGAGGATGTAGAATACACAGTTTGGATTACACCCACACAGTGATGAACTGGTCCTGGCTGCTCTAACTAGGACAGTCAAGCACAACAAAAGTTTGCTATCATAAAGGCCAGTAAGGCTATCTGTAGAGTTTTTTCTGTGAAGTAACTCAGTCTGTATTGTTTAAATGTGAAGCAAAGCACAGATAAATCAGTCAAGTGATTTTTATTTTTTGAAAATCAGCTAGAGAAGAAACATAAATAAAAACTGAGCAACCAGCTCTTCAGTAATTTCATGATTTGAGAAATCTTCAAGTCCACTAGCTCACCATCTATTCTGCCATATTGCACCCGTGAAAGATAACTATAGACAGGACCACAAAGGTAGTTTTCCAAAGGAATCCTTTCTTTCCTTTGTTTTCACTGGTTTACTGAAAGCAGATCATGCTCAATTAAGCTAATTTCTTTGATGAATCTACAATGTTATACTGAGTGGGAAAGACAAAAGGAATAAGGTTGAAATCTACATGACTTTAAAGTACTCTTGCAGCCAGTTCTGAGAAATTAGTGCTTTTAGCCCACATGTTTTAACCATCTACTTTGGGATGAAAAGAATTATGTTGATGAAGTCCCAGGTTGCCTACAAAGGGAACCCAGTGTGCCTAGGTCAGTCTTGCAGCTGAAATACAAGACAGTACACCAAAATCAATGATACGTTGGTTTAAACAAGCAACATATGAAATATGATTTAAGAAGTCTTCCATTCTTTCTATATTGAATATGAGTTAAACTATTTTATTGCAAAATTTAAAAGGTTTGGAGGCTATGGTTCAGCACTGACAAGTCTATATTTTTCTATCATATTTCATCATCTACTTTATCAAAATACTATTATTATATTCCACATAGCTGTCAGATTTAAGCATAATAAGGTTAGTATTTATCTGAAATTTAGTCATGATTGTTTAGCCTGGAATAAAGAAAAATTAGCAGATACTTTTAGTAACTGAACAACTGAAAACTGGAAATCATATAATAATGGGACCATATAAGATGCTTGATAAATCATGCTGAAATGTACATGCTACAAGCATTTGTACACCCGCAAAATAAAAATGTGTATATTTTGTATTTTATTTAAAGGATTGTGTGTTTCCTTTACTATTTAACTGCAGTATTTTACAAAATCAAACATTTCACTTTGCATGTTAAGTAAGTTTCTCTAAAATAGCATTTAAACATTTTCAATCTTTGAAATTATGCACATTTTCTCATGTCTCATAATCTCACAATTAAATTCTGTATAGAAAATTTTACTTTCATATGTTGTTGAAATGCCAAAGAATTAGTTAAACTGGAAATGTTGAATATTTTCATTGCTGTTTGTGGACAATAAAATATTAGTTAATTTTAATGTCATTATAATTATGATTGCCTGGCAAAGGTATGTTTCTCAGTGACAAGGAGAATTAATCAAATAATTAGTACTTTGTGCTACTGTCCATGTTCTTGTTCTAAATGTAGTTCTCATTCTCAGGTGGTGATTACCCATTAGGTGAAGACGTGCATGAAATACTCTTTTATTCCATAAATTTTCAATACAGTTTGAGACCTAAAGAAACGTGTGATTAATCACTTACTAATTGGATCATTCCTTCACTGTCAATAACTAACAAGCTGCATAAGAGGCACTCAACTCTATTGTTTATGAAATCCAAGTTCCTCAAGAGAAGCAAGCATACTTTACAGGAAGACAATCATCACAACTGCAGCAAATATGTTGTTCTCTATTCAAATGCAAAATGCACTCAATTGCACCATAGTACCTTCATAATACTTCTGCTTGCTAGCAAAAAGGAAGAAAAAAACCAGTAAATAAAAGAAATAGAAACATTTCTGAGCAAGTATATTGATTAAAACTCTAATTCTCCTTCTGGACTAACTTACACAGCTTTCACTTGCTCTATTGAAAGTGAAATGTCCTAGATGAATACTATTTAGCCCAAACATACAAATTACTCAATTCTCAGTATACTAATAATGACATCTATAAAAAAAGCCTTGTTAACATGCAACAGAGATGAGATTAGATCTTGCATAGATGAGCTTTGAATTTGAGGATGAATATTTCCACCACATTCAGTTTTACAAGCTATGTAGAAAGAAAGGTTTGGTTATAATACTTCATGTAACTATACATGTGTGTGTGGGTTCAAGGTAAGCCAAGTCTGAGATAACACCAAAGACTGTAATAGTTTAGTCTAGATAAGACTACTCTTCCTTTCTCTAAGAAAGTATTTACATATATTCACTTCAATATCTTAATATCTTTCTCTGCTAGAATTAGCTTTAGTAGAACTAGCTTTGTGGACCGTACATTTAGCCTCCCAATAACTGAGTTCAATGTTTAATCATTTTAAAGTGGTTTTTTTTTCTAATTAGAGGTGACTTCCTTATATTAAAACTTGGTGACATCCTACTGAACAGCTCCAGGAGAAGAGTAGATTTAATTTGTGTTTGCATTGGGCCAGATCTCAAATCATTTGTTATGGTTAAAAGTAAAAAAACAATAAATTAATTTGAAATACACAAGTATTAATTTGAAAGCATTTACTAGCAAGTATATACTCCAGTGGAGGATTACAGCAAAGACTGTTTCTTCCTTCTTAGTTCACTTGAATTTCCATAAAAACATGCAAATATTATTTTTGATTGTTACATAGATAATAAATTCAAAATTAAATAATTGGGTGGAACAATTTACTTAGTGCTTAGAAGTTTCAGGTCACACCAAACATGCATAGACACACAAACACACACATTCACTTACATGTTGATCCCAAATGCATGAATAGAGGACAACTGGAAAGGACTGCACATTTTCTTTAAGGCCTCTGAATTTACTCTCTCATGAGCTCATCAATCCAGGAAATAACATACCCCTACTAAGATGCAGGGGAAAAAAAAAATCAAAAGAAGTATAGTTCATCTATCTTTCTTGATTTCTATGTTATTACGAGTCCCTAGAAACAGAGCTGAAAATTGAATTTGGAGCAGGGGGAGATGGCAGGATATTTCTGACTAAAATTTCTGATGAAATTATCAGCTCATTCTCGCTGTGTTGAAGTCACTGAGCTGTTACCATCCCACAGTATTGTTTTACTGGGTATTTTAAAGTACTGGTGGAAGGAGCTAACAGAAGTAGAGAGAAGATAGGTGCTGGTTCAATTAATTGAAGCATCCAGAATTGATGAGTGTTGTCAAGAACTCACTATGAGGATGGCTAACAGAGGAGACTAATGAAGTGACTGGGAGATATCAAGATTATTACAGTATCTCAGGGAAATGGCTGAAAGGAACAGAAAACAATGAGAGAGCACAGTGGGCATGTAGGAAAGTGGAACAATACCTATAAACCAAATTGTGCATTCAGGAGTGAATAACGTGCCAGGGGGAATTAAAACACTGCACAGTAAATATAAGCTTCTACTTATCAATGATCAAGACACCACTAGCTTGAGAAGATAATATTAACTTATTTAGTTCTATGATAGCATTTCACGTACACTTAATGACAGATATAAAAGCTGTGCTGTTACTGTTTTCTTTCTGGATGAACTTCCAAAACAGCAAAAATAAACCCTGTAGTAGGGTTTGGGTTTCTTTTTTATTGAAGATACTGTGCTGAGTGTCTTTCAAGTGTTATAAGAAGCTGTGATCTCACTGCAGAATGTGCTTGGCTGAGTGAAAAAGTAGCAATGGATATTTTATAAAAATAATTAAAAAGAAAATATAGACAACACGTAGTTTTATCACAGAGAGGAAAAAAGGTTAAGGTACACAGAGAGTAAGAGGCAGAAACAGAGTGAAAGTGTTTTACCAAGCAGTCTAATCCTTTGGATGACTACAGAAATAAAACCCTGTTAGCAGGTTTCTTGGGAGTCTGAAGATCAATTATGTGTATTAGTTCCCCTGTGCTTCCTGTGCTGAGAATGTCTTTTTAAACTGCTGATTTCACAGTCTACGAAAGGGCTGACGAAAGAGGCATTGGCTGTAACCTAGATACAAGGTTGAAAGCTTCAGAAACCACCTTGAGAACATGATAAATATTTCTGTTTCTCCCAACACTTCAAAGAATTGCAGTCATGGAAGATGTGAACTCCTCGATTAATAAGATGTAGTTCACTTCGCATAAGCCTTCACTTTACAGCTGAAACAAAGAGATACAAAAGTAGAAGTCCTGGAATAAGATTGATCAAGTCACTGACTCAATGAATTTGTTCAAAATACATTTGTTCAAAATCTGTCTACTCAGTAGACATATCCTCACTTAGTGAAACTTGCTATGATACCTACATGAACAGTCCTTTCTAAATGTTCAAGAAGGTAACACAACCACAACAATTTACACGGAGGATCTGATGTAAGAATTTTTCTCGAGTTATTTGACTCAAGTTTTTAACGAAACAGCTGTTTCCTTCCATTATTCTTTCCAGACATTGGTTAATCTCACAGTAACATTTAGACTTGTACGCTGCTTCTGTTTGTTTGCTTTGCTGGTTTTGGGTAATTTCTTGTTTTGTTTTGTTTTTCGTGGATTGAGATTGTTTGTCATATTGCAAAATTATTTGCTGGAACGATCTGCTTCTTTTTATTAGACCCTGTAATCATTGTTTAAACTATAGCGTATTTAAACTTTAGAATCAACCCTTTGGTCTCTGAATAAATTTTGTAATTGTAAATGCATCAAGGAAGAGGAATAAAAAGCTGAATGTACATTATTGGCCAAAACATTGTAAAGAAACTAGACGTTCTTTCAGAAATACAATAATACAATATAACAATCTGTAACACTGTAGCAAAATACAATTCTATGCTATCCAATATACTACTGTTATGTTACTTAATTCTCATCTAACTTAGAAAAAAAATTGAAGAGTATTCTGAATGTCATTGTGATTGGGCATTTACATTTATATATGTTTTAAAATCTGTTAAAAAAACCCTTTATTTCAGGAATTAAGGATATTTCTTTCAAAAATTGGTCACATTTAACTCTCTAGGCAAAATAGTTAACAGGACTGCTGATTTCTTCAATCATCAGAAAAAGTGACATATTTATTGTAAGATTCGTGTCCTCGAAAAATGATATATTCAGGATGTAGTAGGAAATATCTGATTGCTTCACTGGAAATGTATAGCTGTAAAGAACATGAATTGAAACTGTATTCAGGAAAGGGCTAGTTTTGATCAACTGGATTTTTTCATAGTGTATAACACTTGAGTCAGTTAATTTGGTATTTAAATTAATGAAATGAGATGGAATGAAATTGAGAAATTAAGTTTCAAATCTAAATTTTTAATTTAAAATGGATGTTTTCCAAAATTCCATTTTGCATGAATGATTTAGTATTTTGATTTTTCACCCAAAACTGAAAAAATAAAATGCCATCACCTAGCTAAGTTTGAAACAATTCTCTTGATGGTCTTACCAATTGTTTTGAATAAACTCAATAACTAATATTTTGAATTGGAAATTTTCCGGTCATGTTGACTATTGAAATGTGAGTTCGTTTTTCAGACTGATAAGAAATTCTTTCAATGCTTGTATCATTGCAATAGGCAGAACTCTTCCATTAGATGTCTTTTAGCAGAAATTTAACTGCATTCTGGTAGAAATTGGTATGCAGGCACTCATGAAAAAATAAGCAAGATTTCTTGCAGGTAACATGCATAGCACTTCTGTTGCTTAATTCTACTTACTATGGTAGAATTACATAAGAATTGAGGCCATCTTCATTCTGTCATGGTCATTGCTAAGCATTAACTTTAATGATAATGCCATAGTTTTATAAGTTTGGTCCAAAGATCCACTGTGACCTGTGATAAGTTTCCTACTGACTTCCTTTTGGTAGGAACAACAAGGAAAAATTTATCATATTTAGTAGAAATCAATAAGGTACATTCATAAGCATTGTTCAAATAGTTTTTAAACAAGTTATATGTAATCATATAAAAATATTGATCCCACATGACTGTGAGCTTTAATCTGATAATGCTGAAATACTTGAGGCAAAATGACTTTAAAATGTAAGGAATAACATTTAGAATATACTGTTGCATGTGATACACACTGAATGTCTGTGAATGTTGCATGGATATATGAAGACAGGGAGGAAAAGAGCAAACACAGTGCATTACAACAGACTTTCTGTGAGTTTATAAAGATAGATTACAAGTAAAATACCAGTTTTGCAAACTGAATATTTCAAGAAGTCTGAAACTGAAAAACTGATGAAGGTGTCTACAGCTTATTCAAGAAATTAACAGTTCCTATGCAGTGTGCAGAGCAGTATGTGAAATCACTTCTCTGTGAGTTATGAGGGAGGTGAATTAGGAATGCAAAATATATAGGAGAATAATATTGTCAAAATGGAATTTTCAAAATAAAAAAAGCCCAAACAAGAAGAGTTTTAATAATGGTGTGGTATTAGCCAGTACGTAGTTCATTATTTGCATAAAAAAATGTTCTGACTTTACTTCTGTATCCTGTTTACTTAAGAAATCAGCGCAACAATACTCAAGAGAGATTAAAACTTGGTTTTTTTCATTCTGGGAGATGTTTACATTTCCTTGCTGTAGGTCCAGGAGAGAAGGAGCTGAAGCAACATCTTGAAAGAACCCAGGTTTTTGTCATTGACTGTACTGGCCAAGACCAGCTACTTGGTCAAGGTTTAGTTGCCATGCACTGCTTCTGTGAGGGAAAAGTAACAAGCAGAAGAGAGTATGAATCTGGAGAAAGAAATTGTATTTGGACAAATAATCTAGCTGGGAGTAGAGGAAAGGCAGAAGTAGGTGTGTGCAGTAGGCAGGAGAGAGGGGTGGGGGGCTGCTGCCTGGAGCTGAGACAGTGCAAGGTCCTGGAGAGAGCACAGGTGAGTGCTGGCAGGCAGCAGCAGCAGCTATGGAGGCAGGAGAACATTTTTCAATGCTTTATGAGACCAGAGATCTCACTGAAAATAGTCATCTTTGTTCAGTGTTGGCAACTCTTCCGTCCCCAAAATGCAAACCAGGGTTTTTGGAGCCAGAAAAAGTGGGGTACTCCAAACAGCTTAGTGAATCATTTTAGTGACAGGGAAGCACAAAATTCCTAGAAATATCCCAAATAATGGCTCTCTGACCACAATTAATTCTTGATGATGAGAATATGGGAAAGATAGAAAATAAGTGTTTCTTGAGAAGGTTGCGATTTTTAGGGAAGTGACTGTAAGTTGATGCCAAGTGCACACAAACAACATCTATCAACATTACATTTAAAACAGTTCTGTGATATGCAGGTTTGTTATTCGGACAGGCAACCTGACAGCAGAAATTGATGCACCTATCAGAGAAGAATAAGAATATAAATCTCTGTCTTATCATAAGGAGAATGCAGGGAGCAGATAGGACTGAAGTGGTAGACATAATCTATTTAGGTTTTCAAGAGACATTTGACATTGCATGGTAGAATAGAATAATATATCTTCAGTTTAGCATGTAAGTCTCAGAAGACTCTTTTCCTCCCAGGCTTCTTAAACTGCAATGTATTGATTCCCAAGTGCAGAACATAATTTCTTCACTAGTTTTCTTCTCAGCCTGTTTTTCTACCCCTTTTATTATCTAGATTTTCTTCTAGAAAATCTCCTTATATCCATCTTCCACTTTTTTTTCTTTGTACTGTCTTTATAGTTTCTGTTTCCTTTCATTAATCCTGACTCCTTTTTTCCTCTTATTCATAAGAGTGCTGATGAGGCATCCTGACTCAATCGGGTTGGTGTGATGTCTTAACATCCTGAGTCTAGCAATTAGAGAATGGCCTTGGGAACTACAAAAAACCCCAAACATTCCCAAATAAAATATGACTTCCTGTCTTCACTGTGACCTTTCTTCAGACTTATCCATGACCAGCAGTATGGATTTGATACAAGTATTGCATGAGCTTCTTAGGTGAAAATTGGATTCTAGAACTCATATGAGTAACAGTCCATAAGATACAGACATGAGGAGGATACAAAAACATTAGTAGCACTAACAAAGGTTCAGATACCTGCAGCACTATTCAAACTTCTGAATACTTTTATATACTCCTTTGTTTCTTACATTTTATCTCCAGGTATTCCATTTTAGGATGCTTAAAGGCAATATTTGGTCAAAACACAGGAAAGAGGAAACATACCCTACTGAAGTATACATTAATCCTCATACACTGCCACTTGCTGTCCTCTCTTTTGCGTGAAAAAGAAAACACCTTTGACGTGTCAAAGGACATCCTCTGTGTCAATACACATACCATTTCCTTTGCAGGGTAAAGCAAACTTGTCACTGAGACTGCATCAGTTCTAATAGCAGCCTCCATTAGAAATTTAGGTTGCAAAGTACTGACATGTCTGTTTTATGTCAGGAAAATATAAAAGTTGTCTTTGGCAGCAAGAAAAGCATTGTAATACAGAATGCAAGAGATTGTAGCAATGCTGATCAGTTACGTGTTTGCTTCAAATAATTGGAAGCCGTTTGTATACAATACAAAGCAGATCATTCCTCAGAACTCTTACACTTCTCAGAGGATATGACTTCCAGATCAATCAAATTTTCAATATCTATGGGATGGGGACCCCTGAGGGCCTTTGGGCCCTGCATCCATGTTCTTACCACCATCATTGCAATTTTTTTTTCCTTATAGCCAGCCTGAATTTCCTTTTCTGCAACTTGCATCTCTGCTTTTATGCATTTGCTGTGCACTTCCAAGAGTCTGACTCCTCCACAATCCTGCATCAGATAGGTGAAAACAGTCTTTCAGTTCTATCAACTTTCTTCTTTTCTGACTGAATAAACCCATTTTTTTCAGTGTCTCTTTGGTTTTCCAGTTCTTCAGTCCTCTAAATTGTACTTAAGAATGGCCTTTTGCTGGACTTAGTTTTTAAAGTCTTCCTTGCACAAGTGATTCTAAAACTGAATGCAGAATAGACGTGATGTCACAAGTGCTGAACAGAGGGGAATAATCATTTCCACTGACATGCTGCCAGGCTGTGACTAATGCAGTTCAGTATACAGATAGCTTTCATCTGCATAGCAGACTGCATTACTAAAAGTATTTTAAGATTTTAAGTTTAAGATGTATTGCAATTTCAGTTTAGGAATATCAGTATAGAAAATTTGCAATGTTTACTGCCAGTAACACCCAGACTTACAACTTAGAAAAATTTACACTAGAAAATGCACATACAAGAATTGTTCTGGAAAAAATGTAATTTTTTTTTTTTACATAAATGTAATTGTGTACAAGGACTAGCACTTGGCAAGGGAAACCTTTTACTCGATGAAATAATGTAAAAGAATTCTTCCATCAAATAACCCTTTTAAGTAATGAACACAAATGTATAATTTATCTTAAGAATTTTCTCAGTGAATTGAACCTGCCCTTTAAAAAAATGGTAATTTGTGAGTGAGATAAAATTCATATGAGTTTGTCCTTTCCACTGCTGTCTATCAAATTTAGTCAGGAATTCTAGGTAACAAAATGATCTTTAATTTCTTCTGACACAATATAACAAAGAAACAATAAATAACCATCAACATCAGCAGGTGTGCTGCTAATTATGGCAACGGTGACCTATTCACACCTACACAGTAGGGCTGTTCAGCCTGCATTTGCATACTGATTTATGGAACCGTAAATTTATGCAGATGTGGATGGAATGAGAAATCAATTAGATATAAAAGGATATGTTAACAGAGGTGAGAAGAAAGAAAGAAATTTCATATAGGGTAGAAAAATAAGATCAAATGGTGCTGTCTTTCCGAATTAATGCAATCATAATCTAAAGACAAGGTTCAACTTTTGTCAGTACTATTGTATAGAATTTTTTTCTGCTATGCATATTGCATAGAAGTGAAAAGTAGAAAGATTGCAATAACTAAATAATGCAAACAAAAACAACATGCAAATAATGTTGGGCCAAAACCCTGGGGATTGGCTTCTTTGGACACTCCACTTGACAAAGCTGAACTTAGGTTTTTAGGTTAAGTCTACCCTATTAAACAAAATAAGACTAAGGCACAATTGGGTTCAGTGATAGGAAACCATCTGTGGTATTAATTGTAAGCAAGCTCATAGGCATGGTTTTATCTTTGCTTTCTCATATTTTTCCAGACAATACTCAACATAGTTGTGGGAAAATATGCCAGGGTTTAGTCTGCTTTTTAGCCTGTGTTAGATCACAGAACTGAAGAAAAAAGTCTATACCTTTTTCAATTTTCCTCTTAAGCTGTCTGCCATTGGAATTCAATATATTCTACTCTATACCCATGAAAAAAATCTATGAAAATCTACTATGTTTTGGCTAGTCTGGGAAATAAAAATAGGTCCTGAATTTCTGTATGTAACAGAATGCAGCATTGACAACACTCATCAGTAAACTTAGATATCTCAGTCTGGATTGCCACATCTGAACAGGTTAGTTCTAGTATATGAGTATTGTGAACTATTAGTCAGATGACTACATTTGACCAGATGAATCATTGTTCATGCAGTTATGTATCTTTGTTAAAAATATAGTGCTTAGTTCTACTTTACAGAGGGAGTATAAAATGAATATAATAAAATCCCACTCCACTTTTATGGATTGTATAAAAAAAAGAAAGGTGATATTTCCCAATTGATGCAAGCAACAGTGTATTGGCAAAGAGAGTTGTTATCTTTGGAAAGTCTGGTCTCCCATCCTAAACTTCAGGAACTCTGTCTTTGGACAAAGTACTGGAGGCTGTCACCTAATCTGGAGTAGGTGAATGGTCATCTCCAAAGCAAACAGCTTTGATTGCTGTTCAGCTGGACAAGAGCTTTCAAAATTTGAGAAAATTTCTTTACATTAAAAAAAAAAGACCAGAAAAAAAAAAGACCAACTTATTTCTCCTCACTGATGAATTAGTTCCACGGTCCTGAGAAAAACAGAATGAAATGGTCTTTATTCACAAAGTGGAAAAGCATTCAATAGAGCAGTGGAAAGAAAAGATTTGAACTCTACACCTATTGCTATTGCCAGCTTCGTGTGCAACCTTGACTAAGTCACTTTTCCTCCTTACATCTTCAATTACCTAGCTGACAAATGAGCAAATCCTAATGCACTGAGTGTTGCAAAAAATAGTTATTAACTTTTGAAAAGCCCTTTCAAGGGGTCTGGCACAGTATAAATGACAGATACTTACTTTAGACAAGAAAGCAACAGTTACAACCATTTTGTTTCAAGGATTTTCTAAAGGAAAACAGAATTGCTGTCAGTGTAAGCTATTTTCTAAAATAGCAGCAATAGAGAGGTAGATATCTCTCTATTGTAGGTGAACACAGCAGATATAAGATAGCTACTTTTAGGATGACACATTAAGAAGCTGAACTGGTTACATGAAACAGCTGAGGGAGTGTGCTGACATTTATGCTGTATCTCAGGTTTATGCTATCATTATTCTACATGCCATGAAACATACACAGAGACACCCTAGTATGTGACAGTGCATATAAATTCTTACCAAAAGCTTTGTGGGGAAAAAAAAAGTATTCTTAATGTTAATGTACTAGCATGAAATTTCGTGTAGTGTGATGAAAGATATTCCCCAGTGAATATATCTCAGCACAGATCACATGGACTGAAAAAGGATTTTGGAATTCTTTGTAATGCTCTCACTGTGAAAGGATCGATTTCTTCCAAGTCTGACATAATAGACCTTAGACTTATTAGAAGTTGCTAATTAAAATGGTCTACACTTCTGAATATCCCTTTTAGAAAAAAAAAAGGAATGAAAAATGAGATCCCTTTCTGGTTTACATGTTTTTAATAAGAAGGTATGAGTAGAATGAACAATACAGTTATATGAGGGAAGATGGAAATATATTGCTTTTGATCTTTTTTCTTTTTAACAAAACTTCAAGCTGTTCAGCCTTCCCCTTCTCTCTCCAACACAGTGGCAGAGAATTTGTTTTGGACCGAGAGCTGGAAGAGAGGACAGTAGAGAACACAACAGTGACAAGGTTCCCTTCTCTTGCTCATTGCTTTCAGGCACAGTGCTAATGCTTATATAGCTTGCTGGAAACAGTATTTTCACATTTCAACCAAATCTCGTAGTCTGAAGGGGAAAATCAGCTTTTCAGACTGTTTTTCTTTCCAAATTAGCACAAAAGCATAATTTCTGTAATTATCATTGAAAAGAACACTTCCCTCACTCCCTCAAAAGAATAAGCTTGGACTTCTTGGAACCCTGCATGTTGACAACAGCAAATTTTTCTAATGTTAAATGTCATGTAAATGAAATATTTATTTTTTATAATATGAGAAGAAAATAATTTAAATATCAAATACAATTCAGAATTGCCTGAATGTAATGTTTTAGCATTATTATTGTAGGAAAATCAAGGTAATCAGGTAATTTCTTTTGCCCTAGAGAAATGCTATCATATTACCACACTCCCACAGGTTATTCCAAGTGTGATGAAGCTGCATTTTCCAATGGGATATCATTGCGCTATTTTTTGATTTATTAATTTTAATTAGCTTTTTTGTCTAACAGCCTCTGAGCAAGTCATCATCATGGCAGACCCAGACCAATTGTCCAGACGGCTCCCTGCTCTAACAGTCGGACTGTCTAAGGAAGCAGCACCTGCAGGACTGTAAGAACTGGATCAAAACAAGCTATTATTTTATATTTTTTAAAATAGATATGAATTAAAAAAAATTTTGGTATGTGTTGACTTGCTTTTTTTAAAAAAAAAGTATGTTTATCAAAATTTCTTGTTATAATTCCTCTGCAGCCTTCCCCATGAGAAGTCAACAATGAAATATCAGCTGGTGTTGCTATTAATGCTTGGGAGTACAAAATACTGATGATTCATGAAGTGCATGAGTCTTTCCTTATTTTCTGGGTTTGGATAAATTGAGAAGTGTCCTGAGTTTTTAGCAATGATTTAAAAGGTTTACACCTTTCTTAACACACTAGAACAGCAGCTTAACAGCAAAGTCAACAATTTTTTCCCCAAATCTCTCATGTATTAAAGGCAACTGGACATAGCTATCTCTAGTTACTGTTAACTGCTCAATTCTGAAGGACTCTGGAAACACTGGAAAGGTAATTATGCTTGATTCAGATACAGTGATTTTTGAAATATAAGCATCTAGAGTCATCAAGATGTAAACTATCAGACGTGTTCACATACAACTGGCAGTTATGACACAGGACCTACTAGACAGGATACCCCAAGACATTTCATATGATACTGGGGGTCTGTACTGGCAACTGAAGCAGGCTGAGGGGCTAGGATTTATCTCTATATTAAATATTTGTGGCATCTACATGTACATGTGGTTAAGCTTCTTTTGGCTCTCCCTAGGCAGCAGAAACTTACCCGATATGTGGCTACAGGTCCTGTGACTCCTGGACAGGACTGTGTGACCCATAAGGCAATGCTTAGGTTTAGTTTCCTGTTTTCCAGTGCCATTTTTCTAAGAGTATTTAGCCTGGCCTAGCTCTAGAGACAAGTGGGTGTGCCTTAAAAATCCTATCATAATAAGAAGTCTACTCCCATGAGATGTTTTGGACAGTCCAAGATGTCAGAAAAGTTATTGAACACTGGTGAAATTGAGTCCTCTGCACAGCTTGGTCAGCAGAACAGCTCTCCAGATTCCAGTGGCTTTATTAACTGGATTTCTAGTAAGCTCTGCAATGAAAGTTAAACACAGATGGAAACCCATGAATCAAAAAACACAGTCTTTTTCCATGAAACTTACCACTTAACAGCCTAAGATTGGTTGAATTATCAGAAAGCATGAGAAAAAAAATATTCTTTTGCCAAAAAAATTACTCTAGAGAATAGAATGATAGAATGATAGAAATTAATGAAATTAACTTCAAAATCCTACATGTCTTACCTTGTGTTCACACGGAGACTGGGCAGTATTTTTGGGTCAGATTGAGTTAGAAATGCTTCATTTATACATAAAAGTATAATACCTAAAGTAAGATACTACCAGTAGGACTACCTGTGCAATTGTAATTCACATATCTGGATGTTTGCACTACAGCAGTCATTTAAATTCACCATTAGGATTTTTTGTCAAGGATCTTTGCTTCATATCACACCTTAGATTTAAAAATGCCTAAATTTCTGTAAATTGTGCTACCTTCACAGCTCAAACCCTAGCTTGTACTTCCTAGATTTTACATAACCTGTAACAGTTCTTTTTCTGTATAATTTCCTATAAATATCAAAATGAAAACTGAACAAATAAAGCCCCCTTATATAAAGATACACTGCCAATTTCCTTTTCTTGTCAGTACTAAGAAGCTTTGGCTTAATATGTATTAGTGAACACGTTAAGGCCAGGTCACTGGTATCCATACTGTTTAATTAATGTTTTCTCCACAGTTTTTGCCCCGGGGCAATTAGCAGTTTCTTAGACAATCCCCACACTCAGCCAGGAAAAAGCACATACAGTTAGGGAAAAAGCACAAAAGAGTACCACTAAGCAATTTTAACACAATCAATCTGGTCTTGGAGAAGGAATGTGAGGAAGTTAAAGCCTATGATGAGAGTCACACCATTTGAGTGGGCCTCCAAATGGTCCCCGGTTTATATTGCTACTAATTAATCATAGATTGTTATTGCTCTGTGTACTAGATACTGGTGAGTGCTGAAACATTTTACTATCTTGGATTCAGTTTCCAGTTCTGGTAAGGCATAGTAAGAATTTCTTTCACCCTCTTGTCTCCTAAACCTCAGTACTCTTATTTTATCCCTTTAGGGTTCTTTCAGCTAATACAATTCATGAAACAAAGAAAACTAAGTACAAAATTCATTGGACACTTAGTGAACCAAAATTACATGTTTTCATACTCCACTCAGAAGAGAACTAAACGTTTTGCAGCTCATGATTTCATCCATTGTCACACATAATTCCCACATTAAAAAAATAAGGATGGGAAGACCTATTAAGTCCTTTAAATAAATTTGCTGACAGGATTAGGATTGAAATCTAAGGCTTTGTAAAGTTAAACATCTATATTAAAGTTTCTTCATGAGCAAGGAGAAAACATATAAAACATATTCTAGGCAATAAATATTAAAATGGCTTTGGTTCTTAATCCCATACCCTTAATTAAATAAATTAAAATGAAGAAAATTCCATTAAACCTCTATTTTTATTGTTGTCACACATTTTATAGAGGTCTCTGGTCCTTTTCTGTGCTCAGATATTTAAAACAGTCATAACAACAGCTGTTCCCAGCTACAAAATGTGCCAGCAGTGTTTAAAACCAAACATATGTTTCTAAGTGTATTGTCTCACCTGAGCCCAGTTCCCTCACAACTTTGACAGTTTATGTGTGCATGTACTGATGAAATGGCCTCTGAATCCTCTGTTGCATATACTTCAGTATAGTCATAAAGTCTCTGGAGCTTGAGGATTTAGCCTCCCTCTTTAGTATCTAAGAGATGCTCTGAACAATGAGAAAGAATTTTACCTCCTTCCCTCTGCCTAGCCTCATGCATGCCAAATCTCTTATAATATATCTGGCAAGAATCATTTTGCACTACTCAGTTCATTGCCATTAGAAAACACAATGGTTGAAGATTCTCCCTGACAACAGATTCCCACACATTTTTGTATCTGACTATTCAATAGAGCCCATTTGCCTGATGTTATAGAGATACCAATTATTTCTAGTGTTGCCAGTATAAAAAGGCTGTTGTATACTGAAGCCAGCATCTGGCTAGCTTATTTTTACTACATTCAGAAGGGATTATTTAAAAGAGAATAGCTCTTTTCAGAACTTTAGACACTAAATCATATTCAACAGTAAGCTCTCAGTCTACCCTTTATTCTCTTTTGTCTTTTCAGAAGTCTACTGAAATGCTCCTGTTCCTCCACACTTTTAATGCTGGGATGGGTGGACAGCAATTTCTTGAGTTTCTGTATGTTTCTGCATCTTCTGACTTCTCTAATCTAAAACTAATAAAAGATCCTGTACATTTTCAGTGGTTTAATACAGTTTTCTGTCTTCACATTTGTATCCTTGTTACATTAACCATCACGAAGAACAAACTTAGAAAACTTACCAGCATTGATGGCCTTCTGTCCCTTTGTGCAAGCAGATATGGGTCAGGTAGGACAGACACCTACCTCATACCTTGTGATTGCACACATGTGACAGAAGAAAAGCAGTCCCAGAAACATTTCATTTCAAAATGAAAGATCAAGAGCATTTTAGCTCCGACACATTTAATCTAAGTACTTTCCTGAGTATAACCACCTTAAGCTGCTAACCAGAAGAAGAAATGAAGCTGGTACCTCCAGAAAACAACTCATGAAAGGTTTTAGGTGGTTTGAATTGCTCTTTTTAATTGCATCTCTACCTCTCTGCTGAAGGTCTAGAGGACCTGCTCTTCTAGGTTAGGTGTGCCATGTTTCAAAATTGAGGAAGAGATGGTTTCAGGGGCTCTGTGTAATGCTTGCCCTCATCAGAGAATTAGAACAATAGCAGAGATATCAGGTTATGTTCTGTAATGCAGGGCTAGGCTCCTTTTTGTCAGTAATTGTTAAATTCTGCAGTAGGTCAGCAGAGGTGTTTTGCATAATAGGTGGGAAAACTTTAATTAGTTATTTAATGAAATCCCCTTTTGCTTTAATACAGAGAGCAACCTATTTATTATCTTTTTCAGTCTCAAGTGTGCACAGAGAATTCAAAACAGAGAAAATAAAATAATTTCTACAGAAAACTAAGGCCCCTTATGATATTCCCAGACATTTTTATTCCAGGCTACAACAATCATCCTTTAAGGACCATATTCCTCAAGGCTTCCCTCTACTAAGGTGAAGGTAAAAAGGTTATACTAACACAGGCTCAGACCTTTCTGACCTAGATAGTATGTGGCTGGGAATGTTCTCAGTTCTGTACCATCAGGTAACGTATACAACCCTTTTGACAGTTAATGGCAGTCTATTGAATAATTTCATATGTATAGTTATACATAAACAAGCACCTTACTGGCCATTCATCTGTACTTGAAATAGAAAAATCCCTATTATTCTATCCAGCAGAATTACCTAATTTTCTCAGTTTGTTGAAGGAAGTGTTCCAGAAAACCTGTTCTCTCCCTTTTTCTTTCTCTTCAAGCATCAAGACCAGGTGGGAGTGATGACTTTTAGTAGAGGAAGAATATGGTAAAATAATTATTCCTCTTCTTTATCAAAAGTCTTTTAAGTGGCACTTGAGCTCTGTTTGTACTCTTTTATCCGCACTAACCATAATTATACTCAGATGTATTTATCTTGTCTGGAGGTACCAGCAATAACTACTGTCATAGAAGCTGCTCACAAAAATGACTGATCTTTGTCAAGATCATTCTAAGAATATTTTATACCTTTTCTGATTTGACAAAACAGGAAACTTATTAACCTTTTTTCCCCCCTTTATTTTTTTTTTAATTTTTTTCCCTTTATTTTGTTTTAATTTCTTTATTGAAGACTAAGATTTTCAATAATTTGTGTCTCTGAAGAATTCACATTTTTAGAATATCCCCACCTGGAATTAATTCATCTAACATCAGCATGCAATCACAGTATCTCAATTATCAGTACAACAATTTGATGCTCTGCGTATGGAGTGTCAGCTAGGGAAAGACAGGTATTTCTGAGAAGATGAGCCAACCCTTACATGGGATGAATCATCATATACATACAGCATTGATTCCACAATAAAACAAAGACAACTGTGTACTTATTATAGGTACCTCAAGTAGGTCCCTGAAGTTAAATGAGACAAATCTAGATTCAAGTTACTGCAAAAAATACGAGTGAAAATATAATTTTACTTTCTTAAGAGAAAATATCGTCTTTGAAAGTCAGATGGCAGATACACTGTGAAGACCTGTATCCTTCATCATATAATACACTAAAGCAGATGGCATTTATTAACATGCTAAAACAAGTTTGAGAAGCCCTAGGCAAAATAGCAAACAAGATGTGAAGTTACAAGCAATAAAACAGTTCAGCTCAGAAAGAGAAAAGCGCTGCAGGGGATATACAATGCTAAAAAAAGAGGGATAACCTTTGTCTGTGATGGGGAACAAACAAAAACCAAGACTAGTAGATTTGGGAATGAGTGTTCTGAGACAAGTACCTTGATCACAGTTTAAGACAGAGTTGCAACTAGCGTCACTATATCTGCAGGTCAGGTACAGCCAGGAAAATAAACAAGGGAGGTATACAATGAATAAAGTAAAGGCATTAACAGAAGAGCTTACCCTGCAGATAGATACCTGCTCATTTACCTGACAGAAACGTGAAGAAATACGAAAAACTTACGTAGGAAAATCATCATGCCTGCTCCTGTAGCCTGATGGACACCAAGCTGGTTCCTGTTGCTTGGAAAAGAGATTTTGGAACCACTGTGGACGGTTCATCTTCTCATTGTTCAACAGAGTTACAAACACATCTGGTTCTGAAATGGTGGTGAGAGATATAGAAAATGAGACAAGAATAACAATATATCTCTGAGAAAATCTTGAATGATGTGTGGATTATATTGATCACTTCTGTGCCAAAAAAATGTAGCAGAACCAAAACAACACAGAGAAGCAAGAAAAGGATAATTGGAGCTATGAAACTGCTTCTGTAAAAGAACTAAATAGATTAGGACTTATGAGCTGGAGAACAGTTAAGACAGGGGTGTTATGAAAAAGATATAAAAAAATCACTAGTGTCTTTCCAAGAGAGGAAGAACTGAGAACTTAAATAAAAAGGAAATATATATAAATGAGTCTGTGAAGTTCTTTCCCCAGGATATGGTGAAGCCCAAATTGTAAAAGGCTCTTTAACAGTGAAATAAATTAAAAATTATTAGACAGCAAGTGCAGTACTCCTGAGGATGACTATAACCCCTATCATTACCTAACACTCAAATTATCACTGAAGGCACAGGGAGGAGTGTACTTTTTTTACTCTTGCTCTATTCCCAAACACCCACTGCTGGGTCTTGTGTGGTATCCAAGAGTTGCAATCTGACTGAAGAAGAGGCTGGAGAGTAAAAAGTCTTGCAGTCAGAAAGCCACACGTAGTAGGTGATTACATATCATGATTTAAAGCCAGTAAGCAACACAAGAGTTACAGGACCTCAACTTTTTCATTCCTCTGAGTACATCCAAATCTTAAAAGCAAAATAAACTTACCCTTGTTCTTGAGAGGAAGACTTTTTAAAAATCACTCAGCAAAACTCTGAGGTGTTAAAACTGGTGGCCTGTCCAAAGCATCCTCAAAACCCAGACATTTGAGCAAAGAAGTGCAAGGTAGAATTTTAAAAAATTAAAATAAATGTAAACAAACATAAATGCCAGTGAGCCTGTAAGAGTAAGCAACAGTAACCAAAGAGAAAGGCTAGAAAACCAAATGAGATTTTTGTCATCTGTAGTTGAGAGTAAGGTAGCTGGCCATAAACAATTGACCATGGTCCTATCTTTGGGTTGCCTAAAATTAGCACTTAAAAGAAAACTCTAAGACTCAATTTGTGAGTTTTAGCAGGCAAGAATTCTTTTATTATGGTGCACCGGATGATTTCAGTGCACTGGATGCCCTAGCAATCATTTTACCAAAAGTGCACACAGAGGTACCTTCGTTACAGTTTATATATTTATATTATATGATTATTCATTTTCATTCCCTGCATTCCTGTTACATATTCATGACATTTCCCAACACTTATTAGCAGCACATATACACATCCTTATAACATCTCTGAGGGGCTTCACCAAGTGTCTCTGGTGGTTGTTTCTGCCTGGAGCCCCCAATGAAGTACTTTATGGACTTCATGACAATACACCTGGTTATAGAGTAACCTGGTGTTGCCTGCTTGGCTGCTCCAGTTCCCTTCCTCATTGTTTCTTTACTTTGCTTGGCTAGTTCCTTTAAATCACTTGGCTCAGCTATACACAATTTTCCATGGTACATTCCATTGAAACCAGTACTAGTCCTGTTACATCTCAAAACTCTGGTCTCATTTGTTTTCCCTGAGAAATAATATTTGTAGCAGAAAGACACAGAGAGAACATTGTAGTGAAGTGAGGGTCAATCTCTTCTGTTGTGTCAAGCTGAAGGGACAAGAGGAAAGGGCCTCAAGTTGCACCAGGGGAGGTTCAGATTGGATATTAGAAAAAAATTTTCTCACTGAAAGAGAGGTCAGGCATTAGAATAAGTTGACCAGAGAGGTGGTGAAGTCAACACCTCTGGAAGTGTTCAAGAGGCTGGATGTGGCACAGGGGGATATGGTTTAGGGGTGATTATGGCGGTGCTATGTTGACGATTGGACTAGATGATCTTGAAAATCTCTTCCCACCTGGATGATTCTGTGATTTCGTGATTCTGTGAGCATAAAAACAAGAAAGGCAGGCAAATACTATGCACAGAAGAGATATAAAACCTCTTGTCATAAGTCATTAAAAATAAGATCCAGTTTTAGAACTGGTCACACACAGACTGACTGTCCCTGTGCGGCCAAACTAACTCCACTTATTTACAGAATCAAGACTTAACGTGTTATCTTCTCCATCACACAGCACATCTAGCTGCAGAAAGGCTTGTTTGCCCTAAAGAGAACAATGAAATAGGGGTATTGTATTCTCAGTTCTGTTGGTGCTCTCTTTAATGATAAAACTACCAAATATTGTAGTTTGTTTTTGCTATAACAATAGAAGTCTATCAGCATTTAAAGCATTATGATAAACACTGATTTATTTTAGACTTATAGTTTGGGTTTCTTTCCAGTAAAACAATACCTAGCAAGACAGGACATAATTTATTGAAATAATTTAAAGATTATATTTCCTGTTACCCTGTGCATGCAGTACATTCTTATCTAGTGAACTATCTAGATGAAGAGTAAAGCAGAATGTACTGTTCTCTGAAGTTAATTAAGTTAATTGTGAAATATGATCCTATTCAAAATTACTTTTCCTCAAAAACAACACAGTTGATACATATTTTTTTATTTATATTTATTTTTTTAAACTCTACGTCTGCTGTAGATCATTGTTTGAAATAGGAGATAGGGGTCAAATCTCTTCAATAAAGGATGCGCTGAATTATAAGGCATTTTAACACCCTTATCTCTAGGTAGTTTTTATTATCTTTCTCTTAAAACCTATGTTAAAATGTATTTATCATCTGCTAGGTACAATTCACATAGGTAAAAATAACTGAACAAAAATTTAAAAATACGAGTGTTATGATCAGGTTCTTTAACGTTATTAGAGAGATGCCTCTGCCTAAATTAAGGTGTAAATGAGACCATATGCCAAAGTCAATAGTATGGATTTTTATTTAACAGTAAATGTGAGATAGAGAGAGATAGAAAGAAATAATGAAAAGAGGGAGCAGAGGAGAGAGAGTGACAGAGAGATAGAGTAAGAAGAAAAAGTATCACCACTCTGTCGATTCCCACGGTGTCCCATTGATCCTCTTTGTGTGACCTTCTCAGTGGTGAGAGTCCCAGTCTTGTTGAAGTGATGGTTGCAGTCTGGATCCGTTGAGGGAAGTCCAGGGTGGTGAGGGAAGAAGCCTGTGTGGTGAGGGAAGTCTGCGGGTGAGCAAAGAAGCAGGATATGTTTATTACGCTTAGATTAGGTAGAAAGGCCCCTTGTACCTCCTCCGGGGCAAGGAGTTTTACACTGGATGATGTAATATTGGATCAGGGAACATTTCAGGAGTCTTTGTCACCTTCTAAATGTTACAGTTGCCTATTAAGTCAGTGAAAGTGAGTCCATTATAGACCATTATGGCCCATCAGCAGAGATGAATACCTTCAGGCTACCTGGGAATTGTTCTGGTAGTTCCCCAGAGGGGAGTTATCACAGCTGACTAATTTGTGTTAAGACAAAGAAACACTGCCCCACCGCACAGGATTTGCCTCTTTCCTTATCCTGTTCAACACCCAGTTTGTAGCCTGAGGTGATGGTGTGCATCCCCTCAGCACCTGGGTGGTTACTTTGCACATCTTGATTGGCTGAGCCATCAGCGTTCCACTCTTTCACACTTGTGGATACATTCTTCTCCTGGGATAATTGGATGCCGTTATCTCATCTCAAGTTACCATCATAGTCCAAATGAGTAGGCATATTCAGGGAGGGGTGGACTTGGTGAGCAGTTGGTTCTTTGCACAGTTTGCTACAGTGGACAAAAGTCTTCCAATGATTTTAACAATGTTTAAACCATTAACCAATTTCAGTCTCTCACAACAAGTAATAATTACAAATTCTGACAGTTCTGAATTATTAGGATTGTTCTGTCAAATTCTGATCATCTTTCAGTAAAAGAATTAAAACAACTCAACAGTTCTATCTATTTCAAAGAGGAATCATAGTAATGAAGATTAATTTTATAAAATGCTGTCATTCCAGTTAACAAATCAGTGTTCTGGATTTAGCCAAGGACCTCTTTTTGTACTTTTAGGGTACCCACTTTTACAATTCATGTCACTGCAGAGTCAACATTATTGCTGAAGTGTAAAATTTTTCAGTTCCTTTGTTATCAGTAAATTCCTTCTTAAGATACCGATATTCCCATGAAATAAGAGCAAATATAGATGTTTAGTTATCCATATAGTATCATCGAGGATTCTGAATTCATACTCACCCACAGAATCAAAGTTGAAGATTGAGCAAGTAATTAGAGCTAGTACACTTTAATTTATTTCAGCTTGTGTAGGCTGAGAGGGGTTTTGCCTGCAAATAATTGCACCTGCAAGTTGAAAGGTCTCCAAATTGTGGACCTTTGTGGATTCCCATTCTCCTCTTTCACAGTACCTCAGAGAAATTAATGTTAAACAGAATATTAGTTCTCTATGGTTCCTGCAGAAGACAAATTGTGGCAGGACTGTAATGCATGCAGTTCACATGTTTGAAGAAAAGAAATAAGGGACATCTAGGTACAAGTACTTTGTTTCTATCTGACCTTCTGGATTCAAATCATCCATGGAAGAATAATCCTTGCTCCTCTAGCTATGACTTTTGTGTAATCATACCAGTTTCAAAGCTCTAGAAACTGTCTCTCCTGTAGACCATTTGAAATTCAGCTCTAAATTCTTTGCTATGCAATCCATACAATCAAAAGAAAATTTTATTTTTGAATCCCAAATTAACTATGAAGAGAGGGAGTTCCAAAGAAATCTTCACCATGTTTACCTTGTCTCCTACATTCCCTGAAAGGCCCTTAAAAAAATTCTTTTTGCTGATTCATTTATAGATGCTTTCTAAAATTAAAAGTATGTTTTTAAAAGGGTTGGTTTTTTTATTTATATATTTTGAGTTTATATTATTTTAGTAGGCACTTTTTTCTCTACTGTTGTGATTGGTGAAATTCACATGAACATCTGGTTGCAAACAATTTGTTGTTACTTAACATAATTTGTAAATACAAAATAAGATTACCAAAGTATTTATCATGTATGATTCAATTTCACATAGACCTTGAAATAATCTCTTTGATGGAAAAAAGTCCAAAAGTAGTGATGTAAATTATTCACTCCAAATAATTCAGCCAGACCTAACAAATGCACTAAAGAGGAGTTTGCATGTTGCACAAAGGGATCGTTTTAAATCCTTTATCACTTTTTTCACCTCTCCTGCCCTTCTTCATCTCCTTTGCAATTCCAATAAGGCTGCAACACAAAAAGCATTAGTGGTTCTATTTAAAAGGTGCCAACCTTGTTGATCATCTGCCTACTCCATTATCAGTATAGAAACATGCTTTGTTTATATTCTGAAAGGGATATGGGAATTATTTTGCTAAGTTAGTGCTGTTCCCCAAGTCTGTACCTCTAAACAAAACCAAACTACTGCTGAGGTTGTATGGTATCATAATAATTTTCATTTTTTGAATGAGCAGGTTATTAGTTTGGATTTGTATGAAGGCTTCCAATTTTGAGTTGTCATTATAACTTACTATGGAGTATTAAAAAAAAAATCAACCAAATTACAAAAGCAAAATCATACCTAAACTTGCGTAGTTTGAAGTACAATGCTTCATTCAGCCACTCTTAGGATAACGCTAAGAGATACACGTCTCTCATAACACCTCCATTTCATTTCTTTGGTTTCATTTACACACAGACAACACCTCTGTGCCATGGCCATGCCCCACATCTGGTCCCAATGCTTCAGCCCAGCCCTTTCCTGCTCAGACCCATCATGGCAAGGCAGGGTGTCTGCAGGGATTCCTGGGTAAACTGTGACTTCTGAGGAGGGGAAATGCTCAGAAATGCAAATTAACCTCTATTGCTAATCCTTCCACAGCCTGCTCTGTTCACTTACAGCATGCTTTCCCCAAACAAATACCTTAATATTTTATGTATTATCCTAAGGGAAAGGGCCTGAAGTTTTCTGTTTTAGAAAATACATTCAAATCTTTTCAGCTGATTATCATTTGTAAAAATAAGGGTTGGAAAGCACAATAGATCAGCTGTATGCCCTTGTTTCTGTTTTAGCACCCTGAAAACAACAGTTAAGTCTCCATTTTGTCAACAGGAACACAATTTGTCAAGGGTTATATGACCCAGATCTCATAATTTCTAGTGCTGGGTTAAGCTCTTTTTCCTACCTTTCCAGATGATTAATGTGCTCAGTTTGCTGTACTTGGTCTCTTTAGTACATGAGAAGGAGAACTATTCCACAAGAGTGGTTATTTCTGTGCTTTCTCACAGTCCAATAAGTCCTGCAAGGTATTAAAAATCAGGCAGAACTACACAGAATGATATCTGAAAACTTTCTGAGATATTCATGTGGTTGAACCATATCATCAAGTTACAAAGTGGTCTCACAAAGGATACAGTAGGTCACCATCTCATGAAGAACTTATTATAATCTTTATTTATAAGAAAGTGAAAGGAGAGAACAGCAGATTTCCAGTCTGGACTGAATCTGAGAAAATTTCTTGAAATCTCTGTATCTGTGCTTACAATTCATCACAGAACTTCTTTGGTCTATCTTCAAGTTATAGTGTATATTAAATGAGGATTTGAAAGATGAAATGAAAATTCCCCCCAGTGACACATTCTTGCTCTTTTAGAAAACAGATGTTATCTGAAGATGTGAAGATAGGGCTGCTGATGCCCGATGCCTTACCTCTTCATTTCTTTGGTGCATAGCACAGCAATCCAGTCTTCGGGCTTCATTGCATCTCTAACATTAACAACTGCACATTTGCTAATAGCATCTCTTTGTGTTGCCAGCGTCCCCTTGCTGACACCCTATTTTCTCTGCTTGACACTCCACTTGCTGTTGACTCTTAGTGAAAGGGACAGAACTGAAAGCCTTGGCATTTCGGTGTGTGAAACAAGGTAATAGCTGATGAAGTACAATTTGTTACACTGAGAAATTATTAGCTATATCCATTTTGGGAAGACTTTCAGAACTCTCTTTCCCAGTGCTGTCTTAATGCTTTCTGAACTGAAGCCAAATCTCGAGAACATATCCATTCATAACCATGCTATGAGTTCTTACTGGGTCTTACTGAAGAAAAAGCCTAATAAAGTTATGGACTCACTGGCAAGTGATACAGAGAACTTTGTGTAATTAAAATAAATGAGATTGTGTCACAGATTAGAAGGCATTTGCTTTCAGTGCTACATGGAATTTTTGACAGACATAAGGAAACAAAGTTATTATTAACTGACATAATATAAAAAATACAGCAATGTTAATAAATACAATTTCATTTTCTTTAAATTATAAAAAAGTCTGATAAAAACACCATTTAGAGAGGAAAAGTTGCCATAGTTAATTCCAAACTAACTTCATATAAAGTCCCTTTTATCTCTTATATTTCTCTGCAAATTAAAAACATGTTATTACAATTTCACATGTTAGATTTCATGCACTACATGAAATGAGATGATGACAAAATTCAGGAATAAGCTGGACAACTATGGGGTAAAATCTTGGCAAGGTGGAAAGCAAATCCATCTCCAAACAACTATGACTTTTGCTTGGTTTTCCTGTGTCATGATTTGACCTGGCAGGCAGCTAAACACCCCTGACCACTCACTAACACCCTCACTGTGATGGGGAAGAGATTCAGAATAAAGAAAAAACTTGTGGGTTGAGATGAAACAGTCAGTCTCAAAGCAGTGGGATGCCCATCCCACACCCTCTGGCACATCCCTCCACTTCCACCAGACAGCTCCATCCAGTTTTATTGTTCAGCATGATTCCATGTGGTCTGGAATATCCCTTTGGTCGTTTGGTGTCAGCTGTCCTGGTGATGGCCCTTTCCGGCTTCTTGTGCCCCTAATCTACTTGCTGGCTGGGCAGTATAAGCTGAAAACACATAGATTAATTGTCCAGGCTCTGCAATGCCATAGTTTGCAAGAGTATCTGCAATATCACAAGAGCCAAGTAAGACTTCCATCAAACCCAAGATTCATATACCACATGACATCTTTTTGTCTGGGTGGCAGTCAGCTCTAAGACTCTGTACTTCTGAGTTTGCTGCTTAGCCAGTTATCAGAGTCAAATACATTTCTCTGGTGCACAAATGAGGATATTTATTCAGGTAAGTAAGCTTTATTGGCCTGCTCCTAAAAGTCCACTACCCCAAAGGTGTCTTTTTTAATCAAAATGCACAGAGGTATTTTGATGATTTATGATAAAAGTAGCATTTCCTTACAAATAGCAGGAGTTGCAATTTTCTCTATAGGCAAGCATGCATTTATATGTCTGTGCTCACATTTAATGACGTTATGCCTTCAGCATGGAAATAACTATGTATGTTTTAACTGCCACCTAGGTTAACACAGTTTTTTGATTCTGTGTTAACAAGTAATTTGTATTTCCTAAAAACTGCAGGATATAGAACTCAGCAAGACCTTAAGAGGTCAATCTAGTTCAATGCTTACCCAAAGAAGGAGCAAACTGTCTTCAAACCATTCTTGAAAGAACCTTCCATAACTTATTTTTTTAAAACGAGACAAGAGAAAACCCTCCACAGGCACTCCTTGTGCTCCCCATGGGTGTTTACTATGCTCCTCCCTGGGCACTCTATTCCAGTTTTTGATTATCATCATAGTATAGGCTGTTCTTTTCCTAATATCCAACACAAATTTAGCCCATAATTACTTCTGATTATTGATTTTCTTTTTGAAACAACCTTTTACCTTTTGAAGAAGTATTTCACCTCAAATTTTCTATGGCTTTAACAAAGTTCCTGTGTTCTAGTATTTTCTCAGGTTTGCAAGCAACATGAAATTACGCATGACATGCAGAAAACTGAATCTTGCAAGACTTTTGGTATCTCCATTTTTCTTTTTCTTGCAGACATCTTGCAGGAATAGACCTACATTTATTATTCAATATTAAAGGCATAGTAAACAAAAAACGTCTGTCACACTGCACTGTTGTGCAGTGGTTAAATGTTAGTTTCATATATTTCTGTGTTTCAGGTCCTTTACTGAAAGGAACAATCCTACTGAGACTCAATAGTCATCATTCCACCTGGAAATTCAGATACTAAAAAGAATCTAATTTAGGTTAGACAACTGATGCAGCATTTTTTTTATATTCTAAACTAGATTTTGATATTATTTTTCCCACTTTATATACATCGATCAAAAATATATCAGTCACTACAAAATCTTCTGCGTTGTTAAGTGAGCACCTGTTGACAGGTGAATCTTTATAATCAAAGAATGAATGGAAATAAATGTTAAAGGAAACACGAGGTATTATGTTATAGATATCTTGTGGGAAAAAAATAAATCATGCTTTAAAAGTAACTCAGGCATTTTTTTTAAATTAATTTATATTTTTAATTTTTTTTTCTCCGTGTATAGTCTTTCATCCCAATTCTTTTATCTTACTTTCCTGCTTCTAGTAGATACTCTCCAGCAGTGCATGAGGAGTCTGGCTGCATTTAACCTACCAAGAAACGCATGGTCTGATCATAATGAAAAACTACAACTACCTGCCTTCAAAAACCACCAACTGACTAAATGTGCAGTGGGTATAGTGCATGACTGCTTTTTTTTTTCCTCCTTTTACTATTTAACATTTTTCCGTCTAAAATTGATGTATTTTTTCAACCCGTTCATCCAGTTTCTCTGGACAATGGTGATGGACAGCTGCAACAGTTGACTAAATCCCTCGTACAAACATTTAAGACAGGTAGATTGAATCACTCTTTAGAAGTATATCTGTCTCTCTTCAGCAGATATCAAGAGGGCACCATGCCCTTTATACCTCTGCTCTTCAGTGTCTTTGTTCCTCTACCTCCTTTGTTCCCAGCTCTGAGATTTACTCTACCATCATCCCAAAAATTGCACCTCCATCAATGTATGAAGCAGTCTGGTATACTCCTCAAGTGTATCTCAGTGGATATTGTTGTTCTAATATAACTTCTATCATACCTTCCAGGTTTTTCTGGTCTTTCACTTCTGTTCTTGAAACTTAGTATATAACACCAGGATCACAGAAATTTCCACACATTGCTTACTACCTGACTCTCACCTTTGCGTTTTCCAAGGAGGTCATGATTCTCACAGTCAGATTTCCAAGAAAATATTCCCCCACTGTTCCCTGCTATTTTTTATGGTTTGGATTTGAAACTTTTGATACAACAGAGACTTTCCACACCATACTATTTCTGCCTTATTTCAATTATATAGACAAGTACAAACTCCAGTTTCAAAATAATTATGTGTACAATGAAAATGGATGGTTCTATTTCATGGTTGTAGATCCCCTTTATATTCTTGAAACTCCTCCTTAGACTATGCTCTATAACAGTAAATACTCATCAAGGTAAATGAAAGTTTTCTGATGCTGGTTGATATTTTCTATGTCACTTATCATTCAATAATGTTCTTGTTTAGATTATAACAGGAAATATTCAACTGAAAAGAAGGCAGAGAACAGAAATAAAAATGGAAACTAAGTACACACCAGACTTCTTTCTTGTGCAGGACAACTTAGGTAATTATGCTATTACTGTAGGACAAGATTTTGACTGAGTCTCAATGCAAAGGTTAGTGTCTAAGAAAGTTTTAAGCCCTACCACAGCCCAAACCCTCAATATTTTCTTTCATGCACTCTGAAAAAAAGATGGTTGTGTCTTCTGCAGGGACACAGCCTACAGGTTTCCCCTGAGCAGCTCCAGGATTCATGCTGTGCTGCTTTTCATTTGCTCTTTAATGCCTTTGTTTCTATACCTCCTTTATTTCCATCCTTTTTCCATCCTCTAAAAAGGTGCAAGTCCATCAAGATGTTTGAAGTAGATTATGTTTTTTAAGTGTGTCTCAGATTTCTTAATACACTTTAAAGAATACGTCAATGGTACAAATATAAATTATACTAAGCTGAGTGTATTTTTTAAGTCTGCAGAAAAGATGCTGGGTATAGACAGCAGTTGAAAGTAAGTAGCTGGGGTTGACTGACTGAAGGATCTCAAACTTTGTTGCAGGGGAAAGATGTGGACTTTCTAAGGTAGGACTTGCAAAGCTAAACTTACTGCTTGATTTATCATCCTCAGTCCTTTCAAGCAGGTGAAAAAGAGTGGATGCAAGTTCTTGCAGGCTAAGTGAGAAAACTAA